TTTAAGTTTATTGCATACATCTATCCATCATTTCAATATGAAGTATAAAAAAACAACAAATATGAATGCATTTCTTTTACCAAAAAACCCCACAAGTCACAACTCTAGAATGCTTTGAAAGCTAGAAGTTTACTGTTTGTAATAATGCTCTCATCCAGGTCTCAGTTCATGACTGATAAAAATCACTTAATCATCACACATAATAATAGCTGGCTGTATGCCAACAGAAAGAAGAAGAAAAAAACGTATGAATACAATAACAATTTTGTACATCATACAACTTCTGCAGACATTGCCAACTACTGGCAATTTTCAGTAAATAACCTACATGTAGCAACTGTCACTATGTTGACATAAATCTAAGTGCTATCCGGCCAAAATAACTTTGACTTGGCTGGAAGACAACAATCTATGGAACTTGCAAAATGTAAAGAGGTTCCAATTACAAGAATTTACACCCCCCCCCCAACAAAAATATAAAGGCCTGCAGTATATTAAGATGAAATCTATTTATAGCTTGATTTTATATTTCATATCTAAGTGCTAAGTGTATAATTAAAACAAGTAAAACATGAAATGTAAAATGATGCGCATTTACACATTTAATAGTTATAAAAATGTATACATCTCTTTGATACAAATGGTTTCCTTTGGTTACATCAATGGTCAAGGAAACATGTCCTAATAATGATGAAGAAAAAAAGAGGCAATTCTGAGAATATCTGGTCAAGGTTCATACATGTATTTTTGAAGGAATTCATTATGTGTTTTAAATAGTATGTGTAATGATGGTCAAATGCAACCATATCAGTGACTCATAACTTGATTACTATTGTCTGCAGGTTCATCTTATAACACCAAAAACATATTCAATAAAAATTGAAATTAAAGGAATTTTAAAGTTAAAAATAGCTCCAAGATATCAATCGATTACTATGAAATATCATCACTGTGAAGAAATTATGAAATAACATTCCTTTCAAGTATACACATTCTTGATGTACTCCATTGTATTTATTTTTAGTGATGATTTATAAATAGATTCTTAAATATTGAATTTAGAATGTCTGTTTGTCAGAATTATATGATTTATGAAATAAAATATATGTAATAGTCAACACCTTATATTTGCATTGCTTTATTATTCCACTTTAAAAGGAACACACCAACAACATTAAATGAGGTTAAAAATTGTATCTAAGAAAGAAGTAAGGTATTTGAAAGTCTAAAACTGTATTTTCCTACCATGATCTCAAAGTTAATTCCTACAGGGTTCTCGTCTGTATAAAACATCCTTGGTGCAAAAACTGAGTATGGAGGACTTCAGAAGGAAAAAAAATTGCCCTAATGAGGGTAATGAATATTGGAAATGCATACTTTTAGCATTTAAGATAGTAAGGTTTTTCTAAACCATTCCCCAGTGATGCTGCAAGTGCGTGGAGTCCAGGACTCTCTTGCATAAAACTTTTTATCGATAACAAATCAAAACATTCTATAACAAAATTTGCTCTCAGCCAATCAAATGTCATGATTTCAGTAGCTTATAACAGGTATTATAAATTGTTATTGATAACAAGTTTTATGAAACAGGGCCCAGTTCTTCATCAGGGTGTTCAAATGCAAGCTTTGAAATGGAAGTTTGACCTGTTTGAGCCAATTACTTCTTAGAAATCCATTATCAATTAGATATATCATCTTGGCCTGGTCAATCCAATAGGCAATAATGGAGCAAAAGTGGGTGTTATTGGATTTCGGCAAGGAATTAGGAGTTGACATAGTGGAGACGCAATTCCTTGAATTTCCAAAAGATGCGCGGCACAAACTGAAGAATGATGCATTCAACTTCGAAGATGACAAGGACGTCACCTACAGCAACACCAACTGTTGATACAAACTATTAGGTTAACGCCATCTACGGTGAAGGTTATATAAACGAGTGCAAAGAAACAAGATGGAAGGGGAAGATGTGCCATGGAGATGGAAAGCATAACAGTTTTCAACCTACTTGTACTAGTCTACTACAACACTATTCTTTTGCTCTTTTGCTCTTTTAAGACATACTTCTCATGATTAGCCACTGTACATCATCGTGATAATTGGGACGAATAAAGTATAAGTGCAAGGCACATTTTGGACTGATAATGATGTGCTTTTTGGACGTCGACATCGTGAGATGCGCAGTGTAAGTCGAATGCTAGTGAGTGAGACAGAAATTGAGACATGTCGATGAAGAAACTGAGACGAGACTAGAGCGTGTGGAACTTTAAGTTTAGATCCAGCATCATTCCTCTTTGCCAATTTAAACAAGGTCAAGTACAGGAAGTTTGGCAAAATTCGAAGATATTACAGTTGAAAACTGGCTTAAATAACGTTATGAATCAGAGTACCAACTGCAAACTGGCTTAACGTTATAACACAAGGCAATTCAGACCGGGTCCAGGACCAAGTTCAGGATGACAAGTTTGAGTAGATCTAGAAACGAATATGCATTAGTAAAGACTATAATATAAAGTCTTATGAACAGTGAGCTGCAATGAATATTGAGACGTGCATGCAGTTACTATGATATAAGGAAGCAAGTACTCTTTAACTCCAGGGAAGTTAAGGTCTGTTTGGCGCTAGACCCATGAAATTGAATGGTCTTGGTCTAAAGAAGATGCAGTCTAGATCTAGACTAGACCAGGTCCAAGTTGAGGACAAGTTTGATTCTGAATGTTGATGAGCCAAATAGGGATTGGACATTGTTCGAGCCAGTACAGCCCAAGACAAGGAGTAAGGTGGATCTGTTTAATGTCTAGTAAGGAACTAGACCAGGACTTCAGATCTAATTATCTAGGTCTATATGTATAGGCCTAGATCTATGCAGGTTTAAGGCTGATCAGGACAGGTGAGGCAGTGTACAGTCAATGGTAGAGGCTAGCATAGTCTCATTCAGAAGAATTCAGACAGATCTGGAGTAAGGAATTAAGTAGCCTAGCTACCAGGACCAAGCACCAGTTAACAGAATACAGGGAAATTGACATGGGAAATGCAGTTCGTGAAGCAACTCAGCATCCCATATAGTAAGTTAACGTTTATGTAACGTTACCATGCAGTATACTTTCAAGTAGACCTACAACCAAGATCAAATATTTTAGCTGGGCTAAATATTTTTGAAGAACAGGATCAAAGTGAATTGATCATGAACTAAACATAAGTTTGAACTTTGACCAGGAGTGCAAGAACCAGTCTACATTGTACATGTACAGGTACAAGGATTATTCTGCATTGATAAGGTGCAGAATTAGACTTCAGTGATCGAGAAACAGGACTAGACAAGCTTAGGTATAGGACCAAGCTTTACTGCAATCAACAGAACATATTGTGGATCTTGTGAAAGTCAGTTGGGAATGTTTGCAGATTATAAACGCTACATGATGGAGCAACATAGTCAGGATAATCAGGTGCAATCATTGGTCCATGAAGGACAAGGAGGACCAAATGTTAGACAAGATATGAATGAGAAAGACAGTCAGAGTCTCGGTGGGCTGGGAACAGAGTTCTTTCTACCGGGTGCAGTACAAGGTCTAGGAGAAGGAGGATATTCCTTTAATGGTCACTGTGAGGACCTTGAACCAGGTGATAGTGTTTCCCAATTAGGAGTCACAAAGAGAATGGGGCAATCATCGGTAGCCAGTGGTGAAGGTAGCGTTCATAGCAGTACGTCTCAAGCTAAGGTAGAAGCAGTTACAAGGCAAGCTGAGCTGCAGATAAGACATGAACGCTTACAAAGAAAACAAGCCTTAGAAGAACAAGCTCAATTGATTCAGAGAGAAAGGGAGCAGTTTGACTATGAAACGGAGCTAGCAGCAACAGCTGCTAAAATTGCTGTGATCAAGCAATTAGAAGGAGAAATGTTACAAGAAGGGCAGATAGAAACGAGCCATATATGCATCCTTCATCTAACATCATAAATGAGCCACAGACTATTGCCCAACCTATGCTTAGACAAGAGTATAGACCGGAGCAAATGAACAGGAAAGCTGCTCATACATCAGTCCCTGCAAGAACTGAAGCTAATGAGCTAATGAGGCAAGTGCCTAGAGGATCGACTCAAGTGCATCATAAGGCAAGATCTGCAGACATGCAGCAGATTAGGGAACCAGGGCTTATATCCCAAAATAGTGCTGGAAGGCAAGATGCTGCTGCAGGTGATTGGATGGAGATACAGAGGCAACAAAACAACCTTACTCAGTTATTACTAGAATGCCACATGAAGTCAGCATTGCCTCAAAGACATGTTCAGTCATTTGATGGGAACCCATTGCAATACCACACTTTCAAGAGGGCCTCTGAACACGTCATCGAATCAGCAACATCAGACTATTCTGACAAGATATATTTTCTAGAGCAGTACACAAGAGGCCAGGCAAATGAAATCGTTCGAAGCTGCATGTTTGGTGACCAACCGATGCAGAATTTCATGAAGGCCAAAGCCTTATTGGAGGCAAAGTTTGGAAATAGGTACTTGGCTCTTGACGCAATGATGAGCAAGGCAACTGCAAGGCAACTGCACTCAGTGGAGGGTCACAGCAGACAATTTACAGGAGGAAAATACATTCATAACATTCCAAGATGTTGTGAGATTTGTTTGCAAGCAAGCTCGTGTGATCAACAATCCTGTGTATGGGGATATTACAGGGTCAGCTCCAACCAAGCAAGGAGAGAGTAAGCAGACCAAGGCTAAGTCTGTTACTAGGCAGAGCTTCAACACGAACGCCATAGAGAAGGATGTTAAGCCAGATAATTGCATGTACTGCAAGACAGCAAACCACAGCTTAGAGCATTGCGAGAAACTTGGAGGCATGCCTCATGCAGACAGAGTGCAATTGTGCAAGTCCAAGTGGCTTTGCTTTGCATGCTTGGAGAAGTCTGGACATCTGGCAAAGAATTGCAAGAATAGACTGACATGTTAAAAGTGCAAGAAGAAGCATCCTACCGTGGTGCACAGACCAGAGAATATGACTTCTTCACATAGCCAAGAACGGAAGGTGGAGAAAAATGCCCCCACTGCTGATGTAAGCATGTCGACAGGTGTTTCAAGGGAAGCTGACAATGTAAGCATGCCAACAGATGTTTCGAGTGAAGCTGACAATAAACGGTCAATGACAAATTACAGCAGTGAGTCCAATACGCTACCTGTTGTAATTCCAGTGGTAGTCCGATCGAGGGAGTCTGGATGTCAGATGCAGACGTACGCTTTCTTAGACAACGGAAGCAATTCAGTTTTCTGTACAGAGGCAGTCAGGAAAGGACTACAAACAAGAGGGCAACTCACCAATATCCATCTTCAAACAATGACACAAGATAAGGTGATAAGATGTCAAGTTTTGAAGGACTTGGAAGTTATGGATCTAAAAGGAAATAACATCATAGATCTCCAGGAGGTGTTTGTCCAAGACACCATACCAGTGAGCAAAGAAGAAATCCCTACAACAGCTCACTTGAAGGAATATCCGTATCTCAGACACCTGAACCTCCCTGATATATCCTGTGATGTCGGTCTCCTTATCGAAAACAATGTCCCAAGAGCTGCAGAACCATTAGAAGTTGTAAACAGTGAAAATGGTGGACCATATGCATACAGGACACTGTTGGGATGGGCAGTAAGTGGTGTGATAAAGCCAGGTATTACAAGGAAGATATCTTCACATCGTGTATCCGTGAAGAAGGACATTGACCAGCAACTAATCACAATGTTTAACCATGACTTTAGTGAAAGGGTTGCAGATGACAAGCCAGAGAAATCAAGAGAGGACCAGAGGTTCCTGAGAGAAATGAAGAGGTCGACAGAGCACATAGACGGCCATTATCAAGTAGGGCTACCTTTCAAGGATAGGAATGTGGTGATGCCTAATAATAGACCACAAGCTGAACAAAGGGCAGCACACCTTCAGAGGAAGTTCGCTAGACAGCCGCAGTTCCATAGAGAGTATGCAGGGTTTATGGATAAGGTGCTGAACAAACAGTACGCTGAAAGAGTACCAGAAGACAAGTTCCTTAGAGAAGATGGAAAGATGTGGTTTATTCCTCACCACGGTGTATATCACCCACAGAAGCAAAAAATTAGAGTGGTGTATGACTGTGCAGCTTCTTTCAAGGGCAAGTCACTGAATGACAATCTTCTACAGGGGCCGGACCTCACAAATAGTTTGGTGGGTGTATTAACAAGGTTTCGTCAAGACCGCATAGCAGTAATGGCAGACATAGAAGCCATGTTCTCACAAGTGAAACTGCTAAAGGAAGAAAACACTATGAACATGACTGACAATGAGAGCGGACAAAATATACAGTTCCTCAGGTAGACAAAGGAACATCCCTTCACAGCTATTATGTAAAAAGGTGAATATGCATGTGACACCTGTTCTACACATTTTTACATAATAGCAGTAAGGGATGTTCCTTTGTCTACCTGAGGAACTGTATATTTTGTCCGCTCTCATTGTCAGTCATGTTCATAGTGAAAGGATCTACATCGATTTCTGTGGTGGCCAGATGGCAATGTCGCTCAACCTATTGAGGAATACCGCATGACTGTTCATGTGTTTGGGGCTAGATCTTCACCAGCTTGTGCCAATTACGCCCTGAAGCGCACAGCGGAAGACTTTGCAGAGGACAAGGTGGCACATATCATCAAGCGCAACTTTTATGTTGACGATTGTTTGTACTCGAGCTCAACAGTCCAGGAAGCTGCAGAGCTATCAGAGGGCCTACAAGAAGCCTGTAAGGAAGGAGGATTCCACCTCACAAAATGGGTGAGCAATGACAGAAGAGAATGCCAAGCAGCAAATAATACTAACGAATAGCCACCATGTCTCGACCCTCCTCATAAGGCATGTGCATCGTAAGGTGGGTCACCAAGGGCATAACCATGTTCTAGCTGAGTTGCGCCAGAAATACTGGATAGTTGGTGCAGGTGTACTTATCAAGGCTGTGATCAGGAAGTGTATTGTATGCAGGAAATACCAGGCTAAAACAAGCACGCAGAAGATGGCGGATCTTCCCAGTTGCAGAATAGAAGCATGTGAACCACCGTTCACACACACTGGAATGGACTATTTTGGACCCTTTGAGATAAAGCATGGTCGCAGCGTCAAGAAAAGGTATGGAGTTGTGTTTACGTGCATGTCCTGCAGAGCAGTCCATATAGAGGTAGCTGGAAGCCTTGACACAAGTTCTTGTATAAATGCCATGCGTCGATTTGTGAGTCGGAGAGGACCAGTTAAAGCACTGTATTCTGACAATGGAACCAACTTCGTAGGGGCTTGCAGTGAGCTAAAACAGGCCCTTAAGGAATGGCGAAAAGAGGAAATCATGCATTTCACTGCAGTTCCCGGAATACAGTGGAACTTCAATCCTCCGGCAGCTTCACACTATGGAGGAGTTTGGGAAAGACAGATTAGAACAATTCGAAAAATTCTCCATGCCGTGCTTCATGAGCAGCATCTGAAAAGCAGCCAAAGTGACGAGCAGCTACAAACGCTGATGTGTGAAATCGAGGCTATAATAAACAGCAGGCCACTAACGAGAGCATCAGAAGATCCGAATGATCTGAACATTATAACCCCAAATCACTTGCTGCAGTTCAAGACAACGTCATCGCCACCTCCTGGGCGGTTCACAGACAAGGACTTGTACTCCAGTAAACGTTGGAGACAAATGCAATATCTTGCAGATATCTTCTGGAAAAGGTGGGTACGTGAGTACCTTCCTGCCTTGCAGCAACGGCAGAAGTGGTTGCAGCCTCAGCGCAGTCTGAAAGTTGGTGACATAGTCCTGATTGCTGACCAGAATGCTCCCCGATGTTCCTGGCCGATGGCTCGAGTGGAGGACGTGTATCCAGACAGCCGAGGATTGGTGCGCAGTGCCCGACTGAAGACGAAGATGACAACATTAACCAGACCGGTGACTAAAATGTGTTTGTTATTGGAGGCAGAATAAGCACAAGTGGAAATCTGACACAAAGCGAATGTGATATTTTGTTGCTGAAATTTTTTGATGGATCATTTCGCAAGTATCGGCATGAATTTAATTTCTCAACCAGCAGGATCAACAATATTCATCGCGTTGGACGGATCAGTTGGAATTATTTCATGAATATAGGTTAATTTAATTGTAAGATACGGGGTGCACGACTTGCTCTGCCCCAGTAAATGAATCTGGTATTGATACCAAATTCATAATATGCGATCACTCAGAGATGCCAACCCTCCCGATTTTATCGGGAGGCTCCCGATAATTCACCCCAACTCCCGACCTTACGATCACCATCCTTATCCTCCCGATTTATTAAAAAAAAAAAAAAAAAAAAAAAATGATTTTTTTTTTTTTTTTTTTTTTTTTTTTTTTTTTTTTTTTTTTTATTATGATTTTTTTTGGAGGGCGCTTATCAGTATATATATCTGTGAATTGAAAGAGAAATATCATCTGCTAACTTAAGCATGTAATAATTCCACTATGTTAAAAGACAAATTAAGAGTAGCGAAAGATTGTTTCAGCATATGGATCGCCGTAACCAATGCGTGGATATTGCCACAGAATCCAAATGGCGGAAAATCAGCAAAATAAGACCAGGAAATGGTCTCGGAAGTATAAGACCGAATACAGTATCAAGTACCTGTGTAATCGGAAGTCTGAAAGTAATTCATCATGCATTTTGTACAATTTTTATGTTATTTAAAAAAAAAGGGGGAATTATTTAACTAAATACACATGTAAAATGCTCCAAAATAAGGCTCAGATTGCACCAGAGAGCATCTAGAACCCCAGAGCTTCCAGGGCCCTAAGGCGGGCCCTGGACCCCGGCCGCATGTGTCGGGCGCTACGCGCTCGAGATGTGCGCTACGCGCACATTAATTGGTGTCGATTACAAATCCTCCCTATTTCTGATTTCCAAAAGTTGGCATCTCTGTGCGCTACGCGCACATTAATTGGTGTCGATTACAAATCCTCCCTATTTCTGATTTCCAAAAGTTGGCATCTCTGCACTTTGTGTGCTACAGTAGACCAGGATCATTAAAGTTTATATTGGAATAATTTAATCAGTTATTGTTTTAATGAGGTGCACGACTTGCTCTGCCTCAGTGAATGAATGCAGTATTGTTGCTGAATTCATGAAAGATTAAATTCGCGACTGTAGTATCTTGAACAACTGCACAATTAGCATTCCATACTTTCTGGTTGTCATTGGTTACTCGTACAAGAACAATGTATAGTGTTTTGTAATATGACCTGTACAGAAGTTGAACAGAGAATACACACACGTTATCAACCATGTAATTGAAGGCTGTTGTGTCGTCCTTTCGGCTGTCTAAATAAGGACCAAAACATTACATTTGGCGACGAAGATGTGTGATTTCACCATGAACCTGACCTTTCATGGACACAGTCCCTCGAGTCACTGCGTAAGTTACTTTGAGAACATTTCAACATGAATTTACCCCAGTTTGAGCGTTTTGAGTGCCATGATGATCTCGCGACCGTGGGTGTGAGATGGGGAAAATACGTGAAACGGCTAGAGAACTTTTTCACTGCATTTGCTGTAACAGACGATGCCCAGAAGCGAGCGTTGCTCCTGCACTATTCCGGTCCTGATGTGCAGGAAATCTTTGAAACACTTCCAGACACAGCCACATCTTACTCTGCTGCCATTAAAGCGCTAGAGAAACATTTTGTTCCGTCTGTTAATGTGGAATATGAACGTTATCTGTTTCGTCAGTGTAAACAATTGAACAATGAAACTGTTGCTCAGTATCATCTCCGTTTGCAGAAGTTAGCTTCATCATGTCAATTCTCGGACAAAACTGCGGAAATCAAATCCCAAATCGTGTTTGGGTGTACATCGCAAAATTTGAGGAGGTACGCACTTCGTGAAACTGTTACACTCGAAAAACTTATTCATACTGCCCGCACGCTCGAGCAATCTGATCAGTATGCAGCCGAGATGGAGAGTGCTACATCTCGAGAATCAACTGTCGCTGCTACGCGTCATGACAAGCCCTCAAATCCGAACTCTGTCCAACGCCAATTTCGTACTCGTGGAAAACAGCAAGCGACCAGACAGAAAGTCACATGCAGGAATTGTGGTGGTCGGTTCCCACATCCCGCAGATAAACCCTGTCCGGCAAAAGGGGTTACGTGCCATTCTTGTGGAAAATTGAATCATTTCCAGAAGTACTGTTTATCTAGACCATTAAAGTCCAATTCTATCGCAATTCATACTGAACATACAGCAGCATGTCAATGCAGCTGTACTAGCTCTCCGCAGCCTGAGCCTCAGCGTGATCACCAACCTGCTCAGCATAGTAAGGAAACAAAGGACTATGTTTTCAATGTTAATTCTTCTTCAGCCAACAGACCGATTGTTCAGATTGAGGTCAACGGGATCTCAATTTCAGCTTTAATCGATTCTGGTTCCTCAGTAACGATTGTGAGTCAGAACACGTATCGTTCGATTACACCAAGGCCTCATCTTGACGCGCCCTCCGTTCCTGTGTATGCGTATGGAAGCACAGTCCCGCTTGATGTTGTTGGAACATTCACCGCATCTGTCTCGTATAAATCGAAAACAGTGGAAACAAAGATATTTGTTGTCACGCACAGTGGTGATACACTGCTGGATTGTAGCACTGCCACTGCACTTGGTCTCCTTCATATCGCGTACAATCTTCAGCTAGAGCAGTCGTATAAGGATCGTTTCCTTGGTATTGGCAAACTGAAAGATCACCAATGCCATATTCATGTTGATGGATCCGTTCCTCCTGTAGCAGTTCCCCACCGAAGGATTCCCTTCCACATGAGAAAGCGAGTGGAGCAGGAACTTGACAGATTGCAGGAACTTGATATCATAGAACCGGTACATGATACACCTACTCCGTGGGTTTCTCCGATCACTGTTGTCCCGAAGCGTAACAGTGATAACATCCGCATTTGTGTTGACATGCGTCACGTCAACAAAGCTGTGAAGCGCGAACGTCACATCACGCCAACCGTTGATGATCTTGTGTCTGCTTTGAATGGTGCCACAACATTTAGCACTTTGGATCTCAACTCGGGCTACCACCAGCTAGAGCTTGATGAAGAGTCTCGTCCATAAAAAGTGTTCTCAACTCATGTCGGACTTTTTCGGTACAAACGACTCAACTTCGGGCTCGCATCTGAGATCTTTCAGCACACCATTCAAGCTGTTCTTCAAGACCTACCGGGTGTCTTGAATATAAGTGATGATATTCTTGTGTTCGCGAACAACAAAGCGGACCATGACATTCGCCTCAAAGCTGTACTCGAACGCCTTCGTGAGGTGAACCTGACCTTGAACAAGGACAAATGTGTCTTTGCTGCTGACCGTGTCACATATTTTGGTCACGTTTTCTCATCCAACGGCATTAGCGCTGATCCGAGAAAGATCGAAGCCATCCGAGCGGTACCTGAACCTCGCACCATGTCCGAAGTCCGCAGTTTCTTAGGCATGGTTAATTACTGTGCCAGGTTCATCCCGGGTCTGGCCTCGATTTCAGCACCTCTTCGCCATCTCACTAAGTCGGATAGTGAATGGGAATGGGGTCTTGCCCAAGCCGACGCCTTCGCTCAGATCAAGCAAAGAGTTTCGCAACAATGCACCATGGCATACTTCAATACGGCCAGCACCACTGAACTTATCGTTGATGCCAGTCCTCATGGTCTGGGAGCACTTCTTGTTCAGCATAACAAGGAGAACACGGTTCCTGTCGCGTTGGCAAGCAGAGCCCTCACAGACGTTGAATCTCGATATTTGCAAACAGAGCGTGAAGCCCTAGCCATCACATGGGCTATTGTCCATTTTCATGTGTATTTGTATGGTGGATCGTTTGTAGTCACAACTGACCATAAGCCGCTAGTATCGCTCTTCAACAACTGTCATGCTAAGCCACCGCTCCGTCTTGAAAGATGGATCCTGAAGCTGCAAGCGTATGACTACACCGTCCAGTATCGTCCTGGTCAGCATAACCCCGCTGACTACCTCTCGCGACATCCTCAGCTATCGGTGATGAGCGTATCCGATGATCAATCCATGGCGGAAGCTCATGTTAGTTTTGTGGCATATCATGCAGTTCCGAAGTCAGTATCAATGTCCGAAATCGCTGAAGCCACAAAACAGGACCCAGTCCTACAGCACGTCATTCGCACCATCAAGAACAACAACTGGCATGACCTTCTTGCGACCTCTACTGAAAACCAATCAGAACTCCAGAGCTTGTTCATTATTCGCGAGGAATTGACAGTGGATGACAATTCTCTTCTCCTCCGCGGACATCGCATAGTAGTCCCGCAGTCTCTTCGTAAACGCATCATTGATATTGCACATGAGGGACATCAAGGCATCACAAAGACAAAGAGTCTTATCCGTGAAAAAGTGTGGTTTCCCTCTATTGACAAGATGACAGAGAAAATTGTTCGTGATTGTATCACATGCCAGTCTAACACAATCGAGCATGTCAAAGAGCCTCTGCGCATGTCCCCTCTGCCCCAAAAAGCGTGGTCAGAACTTAGCATTGATTTCGCTGATCTCCCGTCAGGTGACCACCTGCTTGTTGTTATGGATGACTATTCTCGTTTCCCCGAGGTTGAAATTGTCTCATCTATTTCAGCTCAGCAAGTCATCCCCAAGCTAGACCGAATTTTCTCAAGTTTCGGCGTTCCTGATATCGTCCGTACGGATAATGGGCCTCCTTTCAACAGTCGTGAATTCGCTGACTTTGCCGACTACCTGGGTTTCAAGCACAGAAGGGTAACCCCCAGGTGGCCCCAAGCGAACGGTGAAGTTGAAAGATTTATGAGAACACTGAAGAAAGCCTATCGCTCTGCCATCGCTCAAAACAAATCGTGGAAGCAAGAACTCTACAGATTTCTTCGCAATTACCGCGCCACGCCGCATACCACGACTGGTGTCCCCCCTGCCACACTCCTGTTTGGCAGACCTGTCCGTACTCGCCTCCCTGAGCCTATAGTTCCCGTCTCCGACATTCAAGAACGAAATTCGGATAATCAACTCCGCTCTCGCGATCGTGGCAAGAAAGCGAAAATGAAAGCGTACGCGGATAGTCACGGTACAACACGCGAGAAGGATATCGATGTAGGAGACACAGTTCTTGTCCGCCGTGATGGTATAGTGTGCAAACATCAGTCCCCGTACCTTTCCACACCATACAAA